CTCATTACAGCCTGGCTCCCCAATTGGCTTTGCTGGTGAAGGTAGAGCCACATTTTTTTTTCCTGTGGTGTTTGGCTGGAGTAGAGTGGTTAGTGCATAAAAGTTTTCGTTTTGCTAGGCTGCCCCTTTTCTTGTCCTCTGGCTAGACAGAGTAGGCTTTTCTTATCTGTACCTGTTGGCATTTCTATGTGGCTGGCTTCTTCAACAGTGCCTAGGATATATGTGGCAAAAACAAAACCCAGGGAATTCACCACCATGTCTGTCATTCTTTGGGTCCTGAGGTCCCTAGCCAGTGTGCCTCTTCTCTCTACCTTTCAGAGTGTTCTTATATTTACTTTATAGATAATGTCCAGAGTTTTTAGTTGTATTTAGTGTGAAGAATAAGTATATCTGCTCCATCTTTACAGAAGCAGAAATCCAAGTCTTGACATTTTTAAGAAATAATTCTTTCTCACAAAACCCCTGGTAGATAGGATAGCACTTTTCTATCTATTACAGTGGTTACAAACTGGAGGCCTATGGTAGCAGGGTTTTGTTTTTTAAAAAATCTAATTGCTTTTAGGGGGGTATCCTATATTCTCCAGTTCTCCACAGCACTCCCCCGTGTCTGCCTAGCTTGTTCACTATCCCATGCAGGCATTTGAGTTTGTAGCCTCCAATTTAATAAATAAGTCTTGAGGCCAGGCTATCAACAATGGATTATGGCCATAGATTCTAAAAGATCATGCTCAAGTTTCCCTTTTCATAGACTAGTACCTAGCCCAATTTAAGAAATATCAACCAAGACCCAGCTCAAGCTTAATAAAGCCTTTCCCATACATTGCCTCCACCTTCCCTCCAAAGACCTTCTAGAAATTTTTGTTGAGGATCCAGAATTTAATTCCTGTACTATCCTGTCCAATTATTAAACTTAGTACAGGACCTTCTCCATTTTCTCCTTTTTCTTCAGAATGTTAGAGAAGAGATCTAGCTACTCTGTGTGCATGGGTGAGGGGAGGAAAAAGAGGAGGGGAGGCACAGAGAGGTGATGCTGATAATGATGGAGCCAGTGGAAGGAAGATGATCTCATTAAAACTAGAGTGTCCTAATTTCCATAAGGCTGGCCAGTATCAAATCCTTTTGGACATAATTGAAGAATACTGTAGAAAGAAAGGCATTTAGAGGTTTATAATCTAATCCAAGCCCTTTTATCCTTACAGATAAGGGTAAGCATCCTTATACAAGGTCACAAAGCTAACCGATACTGTTTTTACTATTCCATCATGTTCCCTTTTCCTGGCCTCGTTCTATTTTCCAAACAATGGGAGTTGTGATCAACTGTGTCACTTCTAGTAATAGTTCCTAAAAATGTTTCATTACAATCCGTAACTGTATTATTTCATCTAATTTATGGAAGATTACATTCAGATCTTGTTCTTAAATTTTTTGACAAATTCAGGAGAGAGACTTTTTGCTGTTTGTTAGCTTAGTAAAAATGAAAGTAATTGAGTTGGTGGTGTGGGTGGGGGAGGGCAAGTAAAACAAAATATTTTATTATCATCAGGTTAACTTTCAGGATGACGTGGTATTAAAGCATACATTTATTAATTTAGTTGACCCACAATGTAACATAATAGCTATCTACTCTTTCAGCTGGGACAATGTTTGCCAAACTGCTGTCATTTCACATACCACCTCTACAAATACGGTTTGCCACATCGCATACCACCCATACTAATATTTACATTTATCTTTATATTGATTTAAATTCACTCCTTTTTTATACTTTGCCTGTTCTAAGCAATAACATCCATTAAATCAAAAGCTTGATGTGATAGTTTTTCTAATACACAATAATTATATAACTATTAAACTATGCCCATGGACATACCATCTAAACTCATCTCATGTGATACCAGTGATATTCTTACTATGTCTTGGATGATCGAACCCTGTGCTGACTTACAATTTATGGTATGAGTAAATAATAAAATAACTGTTCTCCAACATCTAACATGAGTTGCTAATTATTCTGATTTGTAGGAACATACCAGAAATGCATGGTCCTAGCACCAATTTCAACAGATATAAACCTAGGAAGCCTAGGTTTTCAGATTTTATTGTACATAAGAAATATATGAGGTACTTGGTTGCCTCCTTCAGAGATTCTGATTCACTAAGTCTGGAATGGGGCCCAGGAAGCTTCATTTTTACAGGCATTCCAGGGAGTGCTGTTGCAGGAAGACCACATTTTGAAAAATAGTGGATGGAGGTGGGAGGAGTGGGACAAAATTTAAAAAACATTCTAGCTTTTCAATAGGATGACTTGGGTTTAAATCCCAACTCTAGCTGTGTGACCCTAAGCAAATCACTTAACCTCTCTAGGCCCCAGTTTCCTCATCTGTTAAATGATGATTATAATAATAGCTACCTCATTGCAGGTTTTTTGTTTTCTTTTTAATAGACAGGGTTTTGCAATGTTTCCCAGGCTAGAGTACAGTGGCTTTTTATAAGCGTGATCATAGTGCAATACAGCATCAAACTCCTGGACTCAAGCAATCTTCCTGCCTCAGTCTCCCAAGTAGCCGGGGACTAAAGGCTTGTGCCACTGTGCCCAGCTTCACTGAGTCATTTTAAGGCTTAAATGGATGACATGTGAAAAAGTATTATAAAACCATAGAGCCCTATATGTGCTAAAGGGTTGATGACAATGATGATGATGATCATATAGAACCATTCTCAGCAGCCTACAACTAAGAAGACAATCAGCATTTCAAATAAGATGCAAGTGCACTCTTCATATAAACATTTGCTCCCATTTAATTACTGATGTTGAGTTTAATCTAGAATAAATTAGCCCCCAAATTAAGTGTGTATTTCAACTAAGATATTCACACAATAGATAATTTCAAATATTATTGACTGTTGACTGCAACTTAAATCTTCAAGGAACTTTATCTGGATCTTCAGGGTTAACCCCAAAAGCAATGGCTCCCATACCAGAGGGGTCCCAAAGACCCATCTTGGTTACCCTGATTTTAAGAATTACTTTATAAGTAGCATGTACAATTACCTTGTGGTTTAGAAGTATTTTATGCTTTTATTATTTAAAAAAACTCTCTCCTTGAAGAAAGTGTAACAACTCCTGAATTATAAATTTAACGCCAACTTTACAAATTTAGCTACAGGGCAAATATAAAAAGATGGTTATAAAACATGCTCTTTTACAATAATTCATCAAAGGCTTTAGCTATGATCTTATATAGGGACTTTGAAATTTAATTTCTAAAATAAAGAAAAGCCTTATTTTTTCTGAATACCATCTGTTAAACCATTCCAACATGAACTAATTCTGCTATACAAAATTTGTAAATAGACTAAAATTGAAAAATCTTAGCTGCTTCATGTAAAGTACAGATTCAGGCTGACCTAGTAATGTAATGTTAGGAAGCTATGCAAACAGTAAATACTCAAATCTTTTACGGAACCCATACAACACTAACAACTATTCATCATAATGAAAACATTACAGTTAACTCATAATTGTCCATAAAGAAAATCACTCTGCGGTCTGAGAGCTATTCTCTGCTAATATGGGTCCTTGAGCCTCTCCACTCAGTAGGCAGTTTCTCAGCTAAGGTGGGGACAATAGGATAACTAGGACCAGTGGGATTTGCAGCTGCTCAGTGGCCAGCCACTTGGGCATCAGTGATGTAGCAAATACTTCTCCCACCTGGAGACAGGTTGTTTGCTTAGTCAGGTTTTAAGGACCAGCAGCCCCAAGCTGCCCCAGTGCAAGCAAACATGAACACTAGATAGCAATGAAAACTCTTAAGAAATACACTGTCACTGTTCTAGCTGGGCGGATTATCTAACTTGTACTAACTCACAGCTATGCCTTCCTTTGGTAGGCATAATCAACAGCATCTGCCCACTTGGATGAAGCAAGAGACAGCACCATAGCCAAATCTCAATTTCTTGGCTTCTTGAGTCAGTTTCTGCCCTCGTTATGAGCTAAAGAGGAACTGAAGCTAAAGCCCCTCAACAAGGAGCAGCTATTAAGAATTAATTAGGATCTTTATTACAGTCTTTGGACTATTTGTAAGAATTGACTGCTGGCAAGGACCATGATTTTGAGACACCATTAACTGATGGTAGTCTAGGATACCAAATGTACTTCAAACATATTTGTGAAAAATCAATCATCTTTTACTAGCAGGCAAAAATAACTATAATAAACTGAAACCTCAATTCAAGCAAACTCTACTACCGAAATGCAAATATGGTTTCATTTAGTGTACCTGTTAATAGTTCATCGACACTAAAAGTTAGTCTTTAGCCTTAACAAAGATGGAGCAATCGATTTTTTCTGGTTTGTTAATTGATTCAATAAGTATTTACTGAGTACCTATTATCCTCCAGGATGATGCTGGGAAACCAATGGTGAATAAAAGAGCCTAGTCTCTGCCAAAAAGGAGCTTATCACTCTTAACTTTAGAATGAGCAGGGAATCCAACTTTTAAAATAAACAAGAAGAGATTTCTCACTTCAATAAGGACTAAAAAATGAGGCTGCCCATATAACACTCTTTTGAGATTTTGCAATTTTTTTTTACATTCTAGTATCACATGTTAATGCTGATACTTGAGATAATACCTAAATACAAAAAAAAATTGTGAAGTTAGGGAAATACTATACATCAAGATATTTTCTGAAATTCAGAATACTAACAAAGAAAATATATGCATTTAGATTGTAAAATGGAACTCAATGTTTAAAAGAATCATCATAATCTAAAGATAGCTTTTCCTCTCAATTACAAAACTATGACCACATATCTTGCATACTGGTAAAATTTCTCTTCCAAATTTCATATCTAACAACACAGATTCCTATTCGTCCTATTCCTAAGCAAATGGTAGTTGAAAATCAGGGGGCCAAAGGCTCACCTGAATTAAAACTGCAAAGCTTCTTGGCTACTTAATACACTAAAAATGAATTAAGCACTCAATGTTGCTTACCTTGTAATCTCTGGATACATTTTCTGATGTCACCGAACCTGAAATCTGACTAGAAATTGTAGCAGCTATAAGTTGTTTACACCATTCAACATGTGATCCTGTAGGACTAAAAGAAACAGTGATTAAAAAACTTTAAAATATAGGCTTTTGGTGAGAAAAATGAGCACTGAATAGGGATATATACACATTTCTTTTTTTAGATTAATGAACTTTTATTAGACTATTTGGTTTTTACCTTTACATTTAATATAAGAATCGAAATAGTGACTGACAAGTAGGAAGTAAGATTAGGTTCCAGGTTAATTTTAAATGAATCGACCAATTTTTTTCCAAAACAAGTTTAAGATTCTACTTGTTAAACAGTTCAGCATATTATTCTCTATCATTTATTGGAATTTTACTCTATTACAATTATGTGGATGAAATATTCTTAATATAATGTATATAGAAAATTAATTCTAAAGTGAAATATTTATCTTACAGCATACGATTTTCAAACATTCAATCAACTTTGTATTGGTAGTTTTAAATCCAGAATATAGTGTACTTTTGAGTGAACGAAAGTGACTCTTAGTGGAGTAAAGCTGATCATGTGCTTTTATAAAGAACATACTAGAAAAAATGACATTCTATGTGTAGTACTAACACTACCTTATATTTCAGTAAGTGCTTTGACAATTTACAAAAGGTCTTCCAATTTTTATTATATCAGAGCCTCACAACCATGGTGTGACAAGAAGGCAGAACAGGAACTAGCCAACTTGTTTTTGAGAAGAAAAAATTGAGGCACAGAGGTGACATGCCCTGTTAGAAAGTGCTGTCCTTCCAGGACACGGCACAACCAACAGTGGCTGATTCAGAGCTGAAGCCAGCAGCACAGATGCTAGCCAACTGCCTTATATGAAAACACAACAATGCAAAGAAAAGGGCGTCTTCCACTTCCACAGTGCTCTGAAGTGTTCAAAGCATTTCCACACATGTAGCCTTACTCAGCCCCACAGTAACCCATTTTACAGATGAGAAAACCGAGGCTCCAGTTTGACCCAAGGTCACATGACTGACAAGTGGCTGGGCTTTGCTCACTTGACCTAAAGGACCACAAAAGCAAACTAGACAGTGAGAGAATTAACAATTGCCCCTAGGGGCCAGGCTCCTATCTCGATCTGTCAAGACACTGAAGAAATCAAGCTAGCAGGCAAAAGACATTTAAGAAAATTTACCTTGCAGGTAGCTTTCATTGTAAATAATGTTTCAGGCCCTTAAAAAGTCACATCACTAATTAAATCCATACTCACATATTTAAAGGACAGAAACGCCTGGAATCCCCAGGCAATAATGTAAAATAACCTAAATAATAAATAAAGAAAACTGATGTTCTGTACTAGGGATCTAAATTGCAGTCTCCAATCAAGACAGTCCAGAGGTTATCTGTGTGGTTGAAAATATAAGTAAAAGCACTTGCTGAGTGGGTAGAAATTCCTATCATATGCCAGGAATCTATTTACCAATCTATTTGAACTAAGAGGGAGAAGAAAAGAAACAGGAGAAATTTGAATTTCCTTTTTAAAAGCTAAGTCACCTTTATTGCCTGCTTATATCATACTTTTCTTGTCATAATGATTTTTTCTCTGTCAGCACCCACCCAGCTGCATATAGGAAGAAACTGTAGAAACCCAGCTATTGACCATGAGTGACCTGTTATTACCATCTGCCCAGCATCCCTTCCCTCTTCTTCGGATAAGGACACTTCTCTTTACTTTGCAGAACTGCCCTTCCCTACTTCATAGGATTCTGAGGGGGAAAGGGAAGGAGGGGGCTGACCGCTTCCTCCTCCTGCCCCCACATGTAGGTGAGTTACCCAGGCCTGGCCAATCCCAGGCTTTCCTCTTCGATCCTGAGTGGTGCAGATATGACCCAGAGATGCTGGAGGCCACTCTCTACCCCCACTATCCTGAGGAACCCACAAAGATAAGGTAAGACCCCCCAAAAAACCCAAGAGATGGGGAGTCCTGACTACACTGTTTGCAATCCTGGCTCCAACTGTGCTCATGACCATCTCTCCTCCTATCTGGAACAGTTATGTAAGCCAAGACATCTCCTTCTGGCTTAAGCTAGACTAAGTTGTGTTTTTGTTCACCTGTGACTGGAAGCATCCTGGCCAATGCAGTTACACACAGCATGGTGTAGTGGGCTAGTAGACAGGAGGCCTAGATGCAAGTCCAACTTTTGTCACCAGCTAGCTCCATGACCTTCAGCAAAACACATCCTCTTATAGGACTGCATTCATCATCTTTGAGAGAAGTACAGTATTCAGAAGGGAGATGACGGCCCCACAGTCAGGGGGCATGGCCAAGCCACACCAGTAGGGCCAGGCTCCACTCTAGGGATCACTCTTCAAAGAAGAGCATGAATCAGAGCTTGTTGAGATGACAGAGCTGAGAAGGGAAGCCATGTTTCCTCTTCCTCTCTCTCTCTCTTCTCTGTAGTCTGTGCAATTGCCCTCCACGTTCCTGGCATCAGCAACCACTTGCAGGCTGGAGGCTCCCAGCTCTGTTTCTCCAAGCCGGACTCTCCCAATTTCGATGCCGACATTCCTACAAGACATCTCCACTGGTCTGGCCCAGAGACACTACCAATTCAACCTGTCTATACCAGCATTGGCAGCTCAGCCCCACAACTTAACTCAGGGCAAAGCACAGCCAGTTATCCAGCCACTGCAGGCCCAAAAGACAGGATTTGTCTTAGAGTTCACCTACCACTTCCCCCGACATCTGAATGCTCACCAGGTTGGATCTCCCTTACCTGCTAAGTATCTTGGAAATCCACTCTGCCCTATTCCTAGTCCAGTTCCCTTTTCCAGATCCCATCTTTCTTCTGAGTACTGCCTCATGAATTTAAGCTCCATTTATGTGCCAATGACTCCATAATTTAGGTTTCCAGCCCAGATGCCAGCCCTGAACTCCAGGCTCTTATAAACCTACTGTCTCTTTGACATCTGCTCTGGGAGATAGTCGGCATCTCATAATTGATATGTCCAATGTGAAGAGCCTGCTGTTTCCTGACCCTGCTCCACCTGGAGAGGCTTCTCCATCTCAGCAACACCTTTTTTCCACAAGCTAAATGCCTGGGAATACTCCCTTCTTCTTTTCTCATACCCAACAACCAATCTTCAGGAAACCCCACTGGCTCTACCCTGCAGGTCTTCACATTATATCTAAAATGTCACCATGTTTCCCCTTCTCCACTCCATCCGTCTGGGCTAAGCTGCCATCCTCTCACTTGGCCTATGACAATAGCCACCTACCTATTAGTCTCTCTGCTTCTACTCCTTCCCCTCTATTGTCCACACAGCACCCATGCAGAGCCTACTGAAATCTACAACAGATTACTCACTCCTCTGCTCCAAAGCCCCCAGTGGCTACCCATGGCCTCCAAGGCTCTCCCTCATCTGTCCCTGTGACTTCTCTGACCTCATCCCTTACTTCTCCCTCCCTGCTAGTGGCACTTAGTCTCCTTGCTGATCCTTGAACACTTCACTCACACTCCTACCCTAGGGCTTTTGCACAGGCCTCTGCCTAGAATGCTTCACCCAAGATACTTGTATGGCTGGATCCCTCACCTCTTGGAGGCATTACTCAAATGTCACCTTTCTCAGGCTTTCCCTGATCTTCAAAAGCTCTGAGGAAACCAGAATATGAGGCATATTTGGGGGTGACATATTCTGGTTTCCTTCAGCTTCTTCAATGATTCAGATGCATGCCCCATCCTGAGTACTTCTGTGTTCTACCTCTACCTTAGCACTTATCACATTCAATTTCAACTTTTGGGTTGTTTGTATTCTCCGCTAGATGGTAAGCCAGAGAGCAAAAGCCATCTTGTATTATTCTCTAAATAACCAAGACCTCATACATTGTTGAGTATCTGCAAACCAGTGACATCCTCTCCCTTCCAAGCGCTATTTTAGCTGTGACTGGTTTTCTGCGAAGCTAACCACTGGGTGATTAATTTATTAAAATATGTTGTAATTACACTGAGGTGGAAACAAAGTGAGGGAGTGTTTCTTGTTGTTCCTGTGCTTTTGGAAACTCCCAAAAGTTCAGTGCACTGATATGACTAAGACAGCCAGGAATGAACATCTGAAACTGACTGAGCTCCATTACAACAGTGTCTGTTGCCTAAGCACAGTCGTGTCAGGGAAATGGCCAAGATGTGGGAAAACTGGAGGTCCCGGCTATATAGAATAAGCCATCCCTTGTCCTCAGAGGATGGGGTGGCCTTTCCCAGTTGGACATGGTCAGTTTATGCTTCTAGGTGATTTCTCTTAGTTCTGCAACTGCCTCAAACGCGGTAGGCTTGCTTATGAGTTCATGAAAATAAACCCGGCTTCTTCAAAGTGTGAAGAACTGAAAGTAAACGATTCTGTTTTCTTGTCTCGTGAGCAGTTTGGAAGTTTTCCATCCCAGTTTTTCAAATCAGAGTTATCTTTGTCTTGATCTGCACCAGGACCCACGCCCGCGGGGTCGGGTCCCCCAGTCCCCACTCCCAACTTCAATATCAAAGACCCCAAGCAGCAGCAATGGGATTTGGGTCTTAAAACAACAAGAGGCAAGGTGATGCTAAAAGAGGAGAGCGGGGGCGAAATTCCACCCCCACCCCCCAAGGATTCGTGGCCTGGGCAAGGACAGCCAAGGGGTCGCCAAGGGCAATAGGAGGTGGTACGGAAGTGGTTTGACAGCTCCGAAGCCCCTCTTGGGGTGCGGGGAGCTGGGCTTACAAGGCGGAAGTGAGCCAGGTGCGCGGCCCGAGGCAGGTCGGAGGACTGTGGGCCGCCGATGGGGGTGCCCGGGTTTCCGGAGGGTGGCGGAGAGGACGGTGGAGGGGCCACCCACCCCCGCTTCGGCCGGGCCCTGCGCGGCGTGCGGGGAGGGGGCGGCCAGGCCTTGCGCAGGGCCCTCGGGAGTAGGGGCGCGGGAGGCCGTGGCGGCCGGGGCCCCGTTTACCTGTCCAGGGCCTCCACGCTGGGCTGCCGGGAGCCGGCGGTGGCGCCCCCCACGGCCCGAGGAGGCCTCCTGCCGCCCGCCGGCCCCGGGTTCGGGCCCCCGCCGCCCTCGCAGCCCGCCGCCGCCGCCGCAGCCGGCCTGTCCATGGCGCGCCGAGCCCTGCGGCCGCCGGGAAGCCGAAGTCGGGAAAGGAGCGGCGGCAGGGAAGAGTCCACCGCGCGCCTCCTGCAGACCCGTTCTGCCGCCTGCCTCAGGCGGCCGCCGCCATTAGCTGTCACCTGGCGGCCCCGGTTACCCACAAGGCCGCGCGCGCAGGGGTCGGGGCGGGAGGGGGCCGCGGGCGGGGGCGGGGAGGGCGGCGCGCGGGGCGGGAGCTGTGTCCCCCCAGCCCGCCGCGCCCAACTTGGACGCCCGCCCGAAGAGCCTGAGATTTGGGGGCTAGGACATCCTGCTTGAGCGACCTGGGCACATACCAAGCCACTGGGGTTCGGAATTTCCAAACGGATTATGCATAACGTGCTTTGCTCTATAGTCAAACCAGGTTGACTGTAGAGATATGGGGTGTACAAAAACGTTTGGGGAAATTCAAGGATTAGAAATGATTTTCCCCCTCAATTGTCCTTCCCAGGAAAGTTTTAGGTTAGGGACAACCCGGGCTCCCTGGGCGCCCCTGGTCTTGACATCGTGAAGCACTAGCAATCCCATGCATTTTGGCGATCCCTCCACATCCTATTCTTGCTTCCACTCCCCCCCTACCCACCCACACACACTCAAACCCTCCTCCCTGCCATCTGTAGGGCAACCAAGTGTTCTGATGCCGCCCTCGGAACTTCTGCCCTTGGTTGATGTTAAGAGTAATATTTAACTTCTCTTGATTAGAAATCACTGCTAAGAAAATCAAGCCAATATTTGGTGATAAAGGTATTTAGGACATTTGCTTCCTGGGCTAGATTTATTTCCCTGCTTATTTTGTTTGGGTTGCAATACCCATCAGCTCTCCCCTCTCAGCTCACCCTTGATTGTGCTGGAAGTGGGAATCATGACAGCCTCTTTGCCTGTGATTGCTCTGGGTATGGACAGGAGTCCTATGACCAAGGCTGGCTAAGGACATATAAAGGAAATAATACACTTCCTGTTAAAAGACAGATCTGCAGACAGGCAGTTACCTGCGCCCATCCCAGACCCATCCTGCTCTACCAGCTTAATAAATTCAAACTGAACCTTGAAGACGTGATGCCTGGAGCCCTGGCAGCCATCTTACACCTAAGAGGGGCTGGCCCTGGGCTGAAAGATGACAGGGTGAGAAGGGCTGGGAGGAAGGAAAGGAAGAGCTCTAGACACACTGGAAAACCACCTCCTGCAGGCTTCTGGTTTTCCAAAATTATTAAATCAAATGGTTAACCCATTGTTATGGACTGAATATGTCCCTCCTCAAATTCATATGCTAAAGCCTTACTCCCAATGCTATGGTATTTGGAGGGGGGGCCTTTAGGAGGTAATTAGGTAATAAGGGTAGGGCCCTGCTCTGATGGGATTAGTGCCCTTGTAAGAAGGGCCACTAGAGAGCTTGATCTCATGCTCTCACATGCACACACTGAGAAAAGATGGCCAAGAGGGTGGCCATCTGCAAGCCAGGAAGAGAACCTTGATCGTGGACTTTTCAGAACAGTGAGGAAATAAATTTCTGTTATTTAAGTCACAGTCTATGGTATTTTGTTATAGCAGCCTGAGCAAACTAATACACACACTTTTAGTTAGGTATTTTGTTATGAGTAGCTGCAAGCATCCTAGCTGATCTGAGATTTGTCAGAAAGAAAACAGTGAAATTTTAAGCATATTTTAAATACCATATTCTTCAAAGAGGAATTCACTGTGACACTATTAGACTTCCAATTAAGTTAATCACACTTAGGATTTAGGGGACAGAGATGAATCTGACATATCCCTGCCTAAGATGTTCACAATCAAGTGAAGGAGACAGATAAATTAACAATGACTTTACAAGTTGGTAAGTGCTGTGATGGGCACAAATTGCACAGGCTGTGGGAACACCTACTCCTCTAATCCATGGGAGAAGAGGAAGTCAGGAAGACCTCCTAGAAAAGGTGACATAAAGCTGAATCTTAAAGGATGAGTAAGCCCTTGATGAGGTGAAGGAGTCAAGTCATTCCAGGCAGAAGGCACAGTTATGGACAAAGGTGTGGAGTAGGTTGAACGGCTCATTATGTGTAAGAGAACTCCAAGAAATTTAGTGTTGCTGGAACATAAAGTCAGACAAGTGAGGATCTGGAATGTCTGCAATGTTAGGTTAAGAAGTTTGGGCTTTGTTCTGTGGTTCAGTGGTTCTCACAGTTTAATATGCAAGAATCGTCCCCAATCTGCCCTTTTGATAAACGCTTCAGGTGCTTCTGATGCTCACTGCTCTTGGAGAAATACTACTATGTAGTCCACCTGTGGTAGATTGTGCTTCCAAAGACAGCTGCAGTAATATCCTCCATTTTACATACTTTTTTGCAAGATGACCTTGCCACTCACACGTGAAGAAGTGGGGTCTATTTCCCCTCCCCTTGAATGTGGACTGGCCCTGTAACCTCTTTGAGCAATAGAATGTGGCAGAAGTGATGTCACGTAATTGCCAAGGCTAGGCCTTAAAGGATCTGCAACTCTACTTTGGCTTGTGGAAATACTCCTTCTTGGAACTCAGCTGCCAAGCTATGAGGAAGCCCAAGCATCCATGTGGAGAGGCCCATATAGAAGAGAAGCAAAGCTCCCAGCCAACAGCCCCAGCTGAGTTCCCCAGCCAGCATGGCCATCAGCCAGCCCTTACTGCCAACCATTTGAGTGAGGCATTTCAGCCCTTCCAGCCATCCCAGTGGCCTAACACCATGTGAAGCTGGAGAATCATGTAATTCACCCACAGATTTTTGATAAATAAACTATCGTTTTTTTTTTTTTTTAAGACAGAGTCTCACTATGTTGCCCTGGCTAGAGTGCCGTGGCGTCAGCCTCGCTCACAGCAACCTCAAACTCCTGGGCTCAAGCGATCCTACTGCCTCAGCCTCCCAACTAGCTGGGACTACAGACATGTGTCACCATGCCCGGCTAATTTTTTCTATATATATTTTTAGCTGTCCAATTAATTTCTTTCTATTTTTGGTAGAGACGGGGTCTCGCTTTTACTCAGGCTGATCTCGAACTCCTGAGCTCAAACAATCCACCTGCCTCGGCCTCCCAGAGTGCTAGGATTACAGGCATGAGCCACCGCGCCCAGCCAATAAACTATCATTTTAAGTCACTAGGTTTGGGGGTGTTTTGGGAGCAGCAATAGGAGCACCCAAGCATTGTTCTTGATGACTGGCTCGATCCCCCACCTGCTCAGCTACTTTCCTCACTCAGCTGGGAATCAATGAACAAATCATAGCCACTCTCTAAGGAGTGATTCCACACTGTGAGGTCAGAAGCTGTTATGTGTCTGAGATTTCACCCTAGTAGCAAGCTAAAAATGTAGCTATTTGCCACACTCTGACACTCTGACAGAAAACATGAGGTCTCTGGGTCAGAAACAAAGATGGTTTATTACTCACAGCAAAAACAGCAGCCAGAGCAATATCTTGGACTGAACCCCAGTATCAGTGATGTGACATTCTTTGTAATGCAACCCTACCACTCCTACATCAAGAGGTGGCATCCATTTCCCCTATTCTTGAATGTGAGCTGGCCCTGTAACATCTTTTGATCAAAAGGGGGCCAGATAGTATCTGGACATGCAATGGGGTACATCACAGGGGAGGAACCTCCAATTTAGGGAACTCTGATCTTGTATTGGGCTGCTAGTGACCTGCCTATTCTCCCCTCCAGAGACAGTGATTACTCATTACCTTAAAATGCAAACAGATCTTCTCTGTAGCAATTCACCTTTACTACCCTGGATGGGCTCCAGGAAGGGAGACATCTCAAATGGCTCCTCATACAACTTTCTTAACTCAGCTGCAAATGCATTTGCTCAGAGGCCCCTGACCATGCAGAAAACTGAAATAGTCATGGAGAATTATCTCCCAACTCATACACATGGGCCCCACCGCCCCTTTCTGCCCTGCAAGGCCCACGTGGAGTCCTCTCCATAGTCGTTGGGTTGATTTCTGCATTCCAAGAAATCACTCTAAGGGGACAAGCACATGACTTCTGAATGCCACCTGGAGCTGGAGTTGTGTGCAGGGAGGCAAGTGAGGAATGAATTTTCAGGCCCTCCATCTTGCTCACCAGGGGATAGTCAAGGCCTCCTTTGCCCTCCCCTCTGTACTGCACAGTCCCTGCTGGGGGAGTGGGAGATGTTTGAGTGTATGCTGCCATGTTTATGAAATATTTATGCAGTATACTGTTGAAGGTATTAGGTTTCAAAATCACATGTATAAAAATGACTTGGGACACTCATTAATATGCAGATTCATGCACTTCACCACAGAAAATCTGAAAATTCAGTAGCTTGGTGAGCTGGGTGCTGAGAATCCACATTTGATGAAGGACTTCAAGTGACTCTGATACAGATGGTCTGAGGACCACTCTTTGAGAAACCCTGTTAGAGGTGACAAGGAGCCATAGCAAGACCTTGGAGAGGGGAGAACAGATCATATTTACCCACCAGAAAGATCCCAGGCGTTGCATGATGGAGGATGGATTGAGGGTCAAGGGTAGCTGTGGGAAGATCAGTTAGGAAGACCTGGTGCACGAAGGCCAGGCCTTGGACAGGACTCAGTGACTGATGCACTGCACAACCTGAGCATGAAGTGGGGAAGGAGGAGCAGCCAAGATGTGCCAGGCCCGGCACTGAGGTTTCAGATTTGGATAACTGGGTAAAAGGAGAGATCAGTCAGTGAGATAAGGAATCCAGTATGACCAGCAGGTGGGAGAGGTGAGTGAGTAGGATGAATTCATTTTGGATGTGTTGAGTTTGGTCAACCCTAAGTCCCAGCCCATATGGTGCCTTTGTGTGCATTAGTAAATGAGACCCTTTCCTCACAACGCTAGACTCCTGTTTGTCATAAAATTGTCATAATATGCCAACTTGGTTAAAGCTCAATCTTTGACCACCATACGCCAAGAAACTACCACAATAGAGCTAGAAATCTATAAGGACTTCATTGTGAATGATCCCTGTCTTAGTCCATTTGTGCTGCTATAACAAAATTTCACAGACTGGGTGATTTATAAACAACAGATATTTATTTCTCACAGTTCTAGAGGCTGGGAAGTGCAAGATTAAGGCTCCAGATTGTGAGGGCCTGGTCTCTGCTTCCAAGATGG